GGGTACATGCCAAATCGCCTAGGGTACACCTCACATCGCCTAGGGGTACAGTTCACATCGCCTCGGATACATGCCACTCAGGCGCCCTGTCCCGAACCAATCACACCAGTCACCCGAGGTGAAGTCCTCAGTCACCCGAGGCGAAGTCTTCAGTGTCACCCAAGGCGAAATCTTCAGAGTCACCCGAGGTGAAGTCTTCAAAGTCACCCAAGGTGAAGTCTTCAGAGTCACCCAAGGTGAAATCTTCAGAGTCACCCGAGGTGAAGTCTTCAGAGTCACCCGAGGTGAAGTCTTCAGAGTCACCCGAGGTGAAGTCTTCAGAGTCACCCGAGGTGAAGTCTTCAAAGTCACCCGAGGTGAAATCTTCAGAGTCACCCGAGGTAAAATCTTCAGAGTCACCCAAGGCAAAGACTTGGTTAAAAATTCACTTCCATAGTATCACTTCCGAATAGAACGGCATCATTTCCGAAAAAGAGGGATCATTTCCGAGATACTCGGAAATTATAAGGAATAATCTTGAAGGATCTTTGCAAATCAGGAAATCTTCCAAAAGCCTCCGAAGAATAAGGAAAGTATCTTTATCCGCAATATTCTAAGCCGACTCCGAGGAAAATGGAAATCTTCCGAGAATATCGGTGGAGAGGCGGTTTACTATCCCTATATAAAGCGACTCAAGGTCTTCACAAAAGGGGAGAAGCAATAGCGCTCTAGAATTTAGACTACACAAAGCTCTGAAGCAAAAAAACACTTTTCTTTTTACGATCAAACTCTTGTACGATCAAAGTCATCTTTTTCTTAATAATATCAAGAACACCATCTTTGGTTTCAATCCGTTCTGTTCTTTGAGAATTCACATTTATCGTATCCCTAAAATAAAACCCTAGACAAATCTCGATTGTGTTAGTTTCGACTTCCACACACGTAATTCAGGAAGGTTTCCCGTAATCCACGAAATTTAGGAAGGATTCAGGAAACCCTTCCTGAAATTCATGAATTCATGAAATTCTTTCTGAATTACGTGAAATCCTTCCTGAATTTCGTTAAATCATTCCTGAATTACGTGCAATTTTTTAAGGAATCTTTTCCTGAATTTCGTGAAATCCTTCCTGAATTTTGTGGATTTTTTGGCGTAAAATTTTGACGGGATTTTTTTTTGCTGGAAAATGTTGAAAACAAAATTTGACGGGAAAATATTTTTTACGTTGCGAAAATTTTTTGGCGGGAAAATTAAATTTTGGCGGGAAATTTCTAATTTTATTTACTTATTTATTTTAATTAAACTAATTATTTATAATTAATATTTAATTAAAGTTTATAGTGCTATTTGTGGAATTTTTCAAATGTAGCGCTATTTTTGGAAGAAAAACTTATTTTAGTGCTATTTTTAATTTGAATGAATTCAATTGTAGTGATATTCAATTATGTAATTCATATATTTTCTTATGGAACACATTTAATTTTCAAGTCAACTTAAAAATAAACAGAAAAAATCGGGAAATCTATACTAGTATTTTTGAAGTAGATTTTTAGTAGGTGGGACAAAATGCATTTGGATACAATGGATATCCGACCTGTTTACAAATTTTGGTCATAAGAAGTTTTTTGGGTCGGGTTATATTTAGCCCAACTCATACACGGATATCATATATTTAATAATTTAGATATTTAGAAGATTTGATTAAGATTTGAAATTATGATTATCCTATCATCTTTGCTTGATTTGTTTTTAACTGTTTTGAATCATCATCTACTATACATTTTTGCAACACTTTTTGGGGTTCCTAATCGGGTCAAATTTTGTTTAATTTTGACCCGGAAATCTTCAATCGGATCTTTCCTTATTTTTGACAAAACTAAAAAACGAAAATTAATCAATAAAATCTAAAAAATATATATTTTCTCAACTAATTACTATACCTAAACTCTTTATTTATGGCATATTCTCTACAATTTTTATAGATATAGAAATCAAATATGATTATTTAATGCTAATATAACAAATTTGAACTAATTTCCTAAAACTTCTCTACCTAATTAAAACATAAATATATGATTCTCATTTCACTTTTATATGATCTTATATTTATATTATTTTGAACTATTATAAAATATATATACTTAATAAAAAAATTCAATTTTTTTCTGCATATGCTATGATTCAAATTTTTTAAAACGGACATATATTACTCAATCGATGAAGAAAAAAGTATGTGTACAATCTATATTAACATTTTTGAAAAACAAATTTGCGCGTTTAATCAGGTCGTATTTTTTTTTTTACTCTGACCCGGAATTGAGTCATTCAGATATTTTCTTAATTTCTACAATTATCTAAAACGGGACAATATACCACGGTGAAATCTTAAAATTAACAAATCGAAATACAATTATTTAGTATTTTAATATACACTTTTAAAATATTTTTACGGGTTGGTCTAAAAACACACACTAATTTGAAAATATATATATATATATATATTATAGAAACTATTTGAAAGCAAACTTTTAAATTGACTCGAATTATATGTCTTTTAAATAAAAGTGTTATTAAAAGAAATAACAAAATGATGTTTAATTTTACGGGACATGATTATATGGTGGGACGGGTCGGATTGGATTGATATAAATATGGGATAATATATCACGGGTGAAATCCTGGGATTAACAAATCAAAATACAATTTTTTTTTTTTGTCAAACATCAAAATACAATTATAAAATTTTAAACACTAAACAAAACAAATACAACTTAAAATTTTCATTTTTAGTTACAACGCATGTGACTCGCAATGTACAACAAAAAATATTATATACAACAAATTCATCGGTTTATAAAAAAACAAAAAAAATCAAATAATTAACCCGCGGTGTACCGCGGGTAACAATCTAGTATAATACATAATACATAAAGTTAAAAAAAAATCAATTTTTTTTTCTGCATATACTATGATTCAAAATTTAAAAAACGGACATATATTATACAATTGACGAAAAATGTGTGTTCAACATTCCACATCGACTAAAATATTTAGAGAATGATTCAGAATCATATCATAAATAAGATCAATATTAATAAAATAAATGGGGTTTTTGGGGGGACGGGTTTGGCTGGACAAGTTTTTGAATCAACAATAAAAAAAATTAAAATATCATTAATCCGCCGCTTCAATACGAATTAAATCCTTAACTTTTTTTTAATACCACTGATATTAGACATATCAAATATGTCTCAGAAAAAATTGTATAAAACCAAAAATTGTCATGTGGTATAATTTTACTTAATAACAATTATAAACTATAAAATATAAATGTCTTAGAGAATATTACAATTTGAAAATTTTATATATAATAAATAATAGTTAAATTTTTAAAATTACTACTTTTAGAAAACAAATCACGGGACGGGTTAAGAAATTACAGGACGAGTTAAATTTCGGAACGGATATATATGGTAGACGAGTTTGAATCAATACTTATAAAATTTTAAAATATCATTAACATGCCGCTTTAATACAGATTAAATCCTCAGTTTATTAAAATATAAATGTCTTAGAGAATGATACAATTTGTAAACTTTTATATATAATAAATAGTTATTAAATTTTAAAATCACTACTTTTAGAAAACAAATCACATTACGGGTTAAGAAATTACGGGACGGGTCATATTTTGGAACGAGTTTATATGGCGGACGGGTTTGAATCAATATTTATAAAATTTTAAAATATCATTAGCATGCCGTTTTAATACGGGTTAAATCTTCCGTTACTTAATAACAATTGTAAACTATAAAATATTTATTTTATAAGGAGATATAATTTGCAAAATTTTATATATACTAACTTTAAAAATAATACACCGCGGGTTAAAATCTAGTATATCTTAAATATATAGACAAATAATATTCTCTCATCTGAGATCTCATTCCTTGTCTTTAAAGAATTAACTAGGTAAGTAATCTACACCTTGTGCTGTAAAAAATAATTATTATGTAAATATAGTATTGGGTTAAGTATTTAATCTAGGGAAATTATTAAAAATACCCATTTTGGTGTGGCCCTTTTCAAAAATGCCCCTTTTAGATGTCCATTTTCAAAAATGCCCCTTTTTAAATCTGAAATTTTTATAAAGTTTTATTAGGTTTATAAGGTACTTATGGATTGTAACCACTACTTGAAGACTCGATCCAAGTATTTATAAGGTTTTATAAGGTGTTTTTAAAGGTTTTACAAATTATTTTAAAGGATTTTTAAGGTTTTTCAAAGGTTTTACAAGATATTTTAAAGGTTTTAAAAGGTATTTAAAATGCATTTATAAGGTATTTATAAAGTATTTATAAGATTTTAGATACATAGAAATGTAGTTTGTGTATGTTTTAATGGGAGACTCACAAAAATGCCCCTTTTTCAATACCCCTTTTCAAAAATGCCCCCTTTGGCTGTCCATTTTTAAAAATACCCCTTTTTATGTACAAAATGACTAAATTACCCTTCTTTTAATAAAAGATATCACAAATATAACAAAATTAGATCCACAAAATACAAAATATTTTTTGGCGGGAAAAGTGATCCCTCAATTTTTCCCGCCAAAACACTTGTAAAAAACCTTTAAAATACCTTGTAAATTTTTCCCGTAAAATTTTTTCCCGCCAAAAAATTTTCCCGCCAAAAAATTTTTTTTGCGGGAAAAGTGATTCCGTAATTTTTTTGGCGTTAAATTTTTGGCGGGAAAATTTTTGGCGGGAAAAATTTACAAGGTATTTTAAAGGTTTTTTACAAGGTATTTATAAGGTTTTACAATGTATTTTAAAAGGTTTTACAACGTATTTATAAGGTATTTATAAGATATTATAAGATTTTACAAGCTATTTTATAAGGTTTTACAAGTTATAAGATTTTACAAGTTTTTTATAAGGTTTTACAAGTTTTTTACAAGTTATAAATTCCTTATAAAACTTTATAAGTACCTTGTAAAACCTTTTAAAATACATTGTAAAACCTTACAAAACACTTGTAAATACTTCGTAAAACCTTTAAAATACCTTGTAAATTTTTCCCGCCAAAAATTTTCCCGCCAAAAAAATTTCGCCAAAAAAATTGCGGAATCACTTTTCCCGCAAAAAAAAATTTTTGGCGGGAAAATTTTTTGGCGGGAAAAAATTTTACGGGAAAATTTTACAAGGTATTTTAAAGGTTTTTTACAAGTGTTTTGGCGGGAAAATTGGGAGATCACTTTTCCTCCCAAAAAATATTTTGTATTTTGTGGACCTAATTTTGTTTCAAATAAGGGTAAAATGGTCATTAAAAATTAAAAGAGGGCAAACTTAAAAATGGACTCTCAAAGGGGGCATTTTTGAAAAGGGGTATTGAAAAAGGGGCATTTTTAACAATTTCTCATGTTTTAATAATATTACATACATATTTGGGTAAATCTTATATTTTTAAGAGCATTTTTTATAAGGTTTTTAAAAAGCTGTATTTTTGAAAAGTGGCATTGAAAAAGTGGCATTTTTGCAAAAGCCTCTTTAACCTATTGTAATGGTCAAAATATGTAAGTTTTGAACGAAATATAGAATTCAAATTTATCAAATTAAAAATTTATATTTTTTCAAATTAGCACGTTATATGTGGATGTCATATGTTAGCATATAAATACATAAATCTATAAATATGTTCAACTATATAAATATGTGTGGGAATAACATAAGAATATAAAGATATTTGTTCAAATGTATAAATGTATGCAACTAATATTTAAATTATACGGAAATAGAAAACAGAATTTAAAATAATATATGTGGATTTAAATACATATGGTATATAATCGATGATTAAATAGAAGAATGTAAATATTTCATTGAAATGAAAATATGTTAAGTATACAACCGATGATTATAAACCTATAACAAATGGTATCATGGCCAAAAAGATATTAAAAAATATAGAAGCATACTTCAAAAACCAAAGCCTTGTGTTGGTTTTGTCGCTTTCGGTCATTGAAGCCTTAGTCACTCTCGTTCTCGCTGTGCAAATGTTAAAGCGGATCATTTGGCACGAAAAATTCGTACCGAACCGCATCATATCACGTATGTAAACAACATTTCCCAGGAGCCATTTTAAGGTTAAAAAAAAAGTTGTTGACAAAAAAAAAATTAACTAAATTAATTTATTAAAAAAACAACATTTCCGTAGATAAACTGCATATTCGTTGCTGGTTTCTATCGATAATATTGTTTACCGTTTTTACCTCGTAGGGTGATTTTTGCAAGGAATTCTTAGGGATTTCGAATTTTTGCGACAGAGACTCTTCATGAATTTGGAACGGAGATGGATCTACCAACCTTATAGTAATTTTCTTGCAAATCTGTCTCAAATTTGCGATGGAAGTGCCATGAAAGTTTATCTCCTCACATTCCTCGAAAATCGCTCACAAATGGACTTGCGAGAATTTTTTTCCTTGCAATTGATGAGGGAAGTGATGTTTGCAGCAGATGCCTCGCAACTCCATCACAAATTTGCGATAACTTATTGTTCTCATAAATTCCTTCACAAAGTTTTGAATCCATTTTGTTCCAAGTAATCGACCAGGGGTTTGGTGGGTTCAAGTTCATGAGGGTATATCACATCGTGTTAGGGTTTAAGATAACTAATGTAAAACATAATAAGACAAGAAATGAAAAGGAGATCAGTGATGCTATTTACCCTCACGTTTCATCTTCCGTCCCTTAAAATCACTGTCTTAAAACATTTTTATGATTGTAAGTTTGTAACACTGTTTTTTTTGTTACGGAAACTAGCGATAAGATAAAGAAAGTTAAAAGATTTGCTAAAGATGGCAGTTTCTTATTAAAAAATCATACAAATGCAGGCATATAAAAGTATATTGTCTTATTATTTTAAACGTTGATGCAAAATACATAGACATCAAATGGACTCATATTTTAATACAACATTTTGCCATATATTCTACCACCAATTTATGTTGATGACTTAATTAGCTTTTACAGCGTATTACAAAACAAAAACCACTTACATAAACATTAGTTAATTATAGGGAAAATGAAAACAAGAGAACATTACTGGATTTTCCAATCAAGTACATGCCCTGGCGGACTATGATATCTTCTTGTAAACCAAATCCCATCCTTTCTAGCAATCCATGAGCGTAGCTGACCACATCGAGGATAATAGGCTTGAGCATATACTTCAATATCAAACCAATATTTTGGTCTAGTTCCGTGACTAAGCAGACAATACCATTTTTCACCATGAGGTAGCTGATTATTATCCGCAAACTCAATGATATAAAAAGGATCTTTGTACTTTAGGGTGTGAAACCTTGAAGGTGTGCGCTCTATGCTGAGTTGCCGGCATGCAATATTGAGATCAATACCAGGACCGAGTTCGTTATGAATTACTACATGATTTTTCTTGCAAGCTTCATTTATCCCAAAATACATTGTTGTAACTAACAAAAAAATTATCAGATGATCCATTTTTAGGATCTATGATTATTTTTATAGTAAAAAAGTGATCAAGATGTAGTATTTATAATTTTCTTATGTGCAAACATATTCTGTATTTAGTAAATGATCTCTTAATGAGAGAGAGGGAGGGAGGGAGGGAGAGAGGGAGAGAGAGAGAGAGAGAGAGAGAGAGAGAGAGAGAGAGAGAGAGAGAGAGAGAGAGAGAGAGAGAGAGAGAGAGAGAGAGAGAGAGAGATAGAGAGAGAGAGAGAGAGAGAGAGAGAGAGAGAGAGATTAGGGTATTTATAAAACTTGACCAATAGACAATCCATAAATTAGTTCTTTCTCCTCCTCATTTTTGACTCTACTGTATACATATGTAAATGACAATAATATCCTTAACTATCAACTAATGTTTCTCTTCTTTTTATTCCTCTCTTTTACTTCTCTTTAGTTCTATGTATATATGTACCATTGTCATTATACCACAATTGCACGACGGCAAGATGAAAATGAATTCAGAAAAAAAAACCCACTAAAAACAAACCGCTGAATTGTGTGGTTCACTTGTGACAGTGATGGTATTGATTGACAAAGATGAAACTCAAAAGAGGGGAATGGTATCGTCAACGGCAACGACGATTGTTGTATTTTTCCTAGTGACAGTTGCGTGTCGAAGTGAGAATGATCGATTTGATTTTGTGGCAGAGAAAGACGGTCAACAGTGGTGGTTTCAATTTTGATTTTGTGAAAGCCGAGGCCATGATGCGATGGTCGTAAATCAAGTTGCTCGTTTCGAATCCCGTCATAATTGTGCACTGATGAATTTGACAATTGGGATTTTGATGAGGTTAATCGATCAAGAGAGAAATGGGTTTCGTCAGAGTTGTCGTATTTTTTTGGGTTTAATTTTGCTTTGTAACTGACAATTTAATTAGCATCGTAACATATAAGTTAAACGTGATAACTAGGTTATCAGAATAAAGAAATATGCTAATGTATAAGTTAACGGCACTAACTAGATTATTAGAGTAAGTAAACATGTTAATACATAAGTTAACTGTTACCAATCAAATAATAAATGATTTAACACGATAAATTTGAATTTATCACATAACTTATAACTTATCGCGATATAATAAAATTCACATTGTTGATCAAGTAAATAAGCACAAAAAATTAATGTCTCCTTTATTGCCTCTAGTGATGAATAAGTGTTTCCGACGTCGGATGGATAGTTTTTACTGTGCTAACTAGATTTTAACCTGCGGTACACCGCGGGGCTATAATACTAAAAAAAAAGTTTGACAATTAATTTTTTTGAAGATTATCTATAGATATAATCTATAGTTTCGTTTGACTAAATGTATTTATATATGTATATCCTATACTATTTATATCCGGCGGTACACCTCTGATCGATTTTTTTATAACTAATTTTTTTTAATTTTAAGTTGTATTTGTTTTGTTAATATTGTATGTTTTATTTAGTGTTTAAGATTATATAATTGTATTTGATTGTTAATTCTAGGATTTCATCCATAGTATACCGTCCCGATTAATATCGATCCAAACCCGTTCCACCATATAACTCCGTCCCGTGAAATTAAACATCATTTTGTTATATTTCTTTTGAATTAATATTTTTATTTTAAAAACGTATAATTCGAATCAATTTAAAAGTTTGCTTTAAAAACATAAATTTGTAATGTTTTTATTATGATAAAGTAATAATATACAGATGTTGTTTACTATGTAGTTATAATTAAAACCAACTAAAATCTAAGTTTAGTGTAGATTATGAATTATAGTTATGAATTATGGGTAAATATTTTTTACTAATGAAATACATGTTATTAAGTTACTATCCCAAAGGCAAAAAGTTTTTTTTAATAATCAAGGCAAATATTAGAATTTTATTTGAACAACTAATTTGTCCAAGCAAAACGAAATACAACAAATCTAAAATTAACTATATAACACAATATTAACAAATTTAGACAGACCAAGTGGTCGTATATTCGGTAATCTACGGTCATAGATAATCTTCATCCTTCTTTGGCAAAAATAAACCGAGACAAAA